ACTACCATTTTTAAAAAATTTACTAAATTAACTTTTTCACTTGTCGACATATAAATTCATTAATAACTTTTTATCATGGACAAACTTAACGAAAAAGACAAAGTATTAGCATTCTAAATCAGTTTTAATCATATTGCTGCCTTTGTGTATAGAGTTAGGTTACATTCCAATTAATCTGCTTTTGTTGTCAAGCATTCAAAACCTTTGCTATATTCTTTTTATCATAGATAATGCCAATATTTTACTTTAAAATGTAATAAAAATTTGGCGATTTTTATGTATTTTGAAAAGAATTTGGTCACTGTAAAGAAAACGCGTGGAAACACCAACTTACCTAGCTGTTTGCTTGTATCTAAAATATTTCGCAATCATATAATTCTAATTTGAATTGATTACTGAATTCCACAATTGATGCAATATGCTACGCTATAGCTCAATCGTTGGGGAAATAATATCTTTGCAGCTTAAAATTTTACAGTTAATTTATTACATATATAGTATTCGATTTTTAGGAGAATTAACACCTTATAAAGTAGATAATCATTATTAGAAGGTATACAAAAACAATTTTTTTCAGACCAATTATTTTAACTTTTTCTTTTATTTTCTAATTTTAAAACCTCCTTTTTATTCTTATATTATGAAAATCATACACTTAAGTTCAAACCTTTTTTTTATTGCATGCTTTTAATAAAATGTTATTATTCTAGATTTTGTTTTATAATACAGAAAAATTCTACTTTTTAAAACATTGAAATATTTCTTATGTTATGCTACACTCAATATTCAAAACCTTCCTTATCAGTAATTTAACACAACTATCATAATTATAGTTATTGTTTCTTAAACACAAGAAAAATTCGTTTTATTCAATAAATGCATTACAGATAAATTTTATACTTGTTAATATTTAAATTACTAAATCTTTTCAATTTTCAGAATTTGAAAAAAGATACTGCAGTAATAGTAAATAAATAATAAAATTTTATCTTCAAAACACATAATTGTTATTTTTTAAATAGTTTAATATATTGAACTAAATCTTAATCACAATCCATAGTAGATTTAGAAAATAAGAAATATTTTTTATAGGTTTTAAAAGCAAATATAATGTTATTACGTTATATAAATAGAATTGATTATAAAGGTATATTATTGTCTAACAATTTTTTTCATGAAAGAAAATGATGTGGTGTTGCTTATATAAATAACGGTGCTTTAGAAAAAAATGTTTCGAATGAGAAATTAAATATATTATTTTAAGTATTAATATTTAGTCCATCATATGTTTATAAATTTAGGTGAAACACGAACTTAATAACCTTACCATTGGAATAATGTTTTTACGTAGCGTGTTTAAACTTATGTAATAATATTTAAAACTTACATAATCAAAATAAATAATTCATATAATCAATTATACATCATGAAATAAAGAACGAAAGCATGCTAGAATTAGTAATTTATTTAATATTTTTAAATCATGTGACTATTTAGCATCTTAAGTATTAAGTATTATAATATGAATGAGGATAGATTTTCAAAATATTAAAAATGTTAACCACCTTGTTAATTATGTCACATATTTTAATAATCACCCACCACTCTGGAGTCCTATTGTACCAACTAAAGTTAGCCGTCACTAATGGTCATTAATTTATAAATCCCATATTCAGGGAGTTCTTATGCTCTCGTGTATCGTGAAGTGCATGTTACAACATAAAAAATAATGTGTACAAGGTTTGTTAAACTAGAGTAATCATTTCAACAAATGTGTTAGATATACTAAATTCTTTTTGACAAGAAAACATGACTTTACTTCTTCGAATAAGTATCAGGCATTATTAAAATAAATATTTTTATATTATCATTCAATTACAACGATATATATAATATGTTTTATTTTTGTAATTAGTGATTAATAATAGCAGACAAATTAAAACATATATGTGTTTATAATATCAGAGATGATATAGAAAAATATAAGATAATTATATACTTTCAGTATATTACATCTTTTCATATCTTAATACATACGAGACAGTTATATCTTTAAAGAAAATAATTTAAATTATCTTTTTAGAATTTTATGTTTATTTCATATATTAATATATAGATTTATAGAGAATAAAAGTTATTATTTAATTTGTGTTAACAAATGGATTTTAAATTTAACTCAATCCTAGAGTAAGATTTACCTCCACTTATATATTATAAATTAGTTTTATCTATGATCGTGATAACACTTTTAACAACTTGTAACCTTACTATTTATGTATAGAAAAGGTAGTCCAAATATATGAAAGTTGGATTTTCTAACTTAAAATCACAATAGCTTCATAGTAATCCAAATATCTTAATACTTATATTTTATGACTTAAAGTTACGATAGTTTTTGAACAAGAACAATAAAATACACTTATTCTAAATTTTATTTTTCGGGTTAAACCGAAACCATTTCTAATTAGTTGTTAATTAGTATAAAACCTTAAAATAATGTATATATTAAAATAATAAGCTCATGTAACTAACGACATGCAATATGATACGCTTTAATATCTTTCTTTTTGCATACTTTAAAACACATGCTTTATGTAATCTCCATCAGAAGCAGGTGCAAAAAAANATATTCAGGGAGTTCTTATGCTCTCGTGTATCGTGAAGTGCATGTTACAACATAAAAAATAATGTGTACAAGGTTTGTTAAACTAGAGTAATCATTTCAACAAATGTGTTAGATATACTAAATTCTTTTTGACAAGAAAACATGACTTTACTTCTTCGAATAAGTATCAGGCATTATTAAAATAAATATTTTTATATTATCATTCAATTACAACGATATATATAATATGTTTTATTTTTGTAATTAGTGATTAATAATAGCAGACAAATTAAAACATATATGTGTTTATAATATCAGAGATGATATAGAAAAATATAAGATAATTATATACTTTCAGTATATTACATCTTTTCATATCTTAATACATACGAGACAGTTATATCTTTAAAGAAAATAATTTAAATTATCTTTTTAGAATTTTATGTTTATTTCATATATTAATATATAGATTTATAGAGAATAAAAGTTATTATTTAATTTGTGTTAACAAATGGATTTTAAATTTAACTCAATCCTAGAGTAAGATTTGCCTCCACTTATATATTATAAATTAGTTTTATCTCTGATCGTGATAACACTTTTAACAACTTGTAACCTTACTATTTATGTATAGAAAAGGTAGTCCAAATATATGAAAGTTGGATTTTCTAACTTAAAATCACAATAGCTTCATAGTAATCCAAATATCTTAATACTTATATTTTATGACTTAAAGTTACGATAGTTTTTGAACAAGAACAATAAAATACACTTATTCTAAATTTTATTTTTCGGGTTAAACCGAAACCATTTCTAATTAGTTGTTAATTAGTATAAAACCTTAAAATAATGTATATATTAAAATAATAAGCTCATGTAACTAACGACATGCAATATGATACGCTTTAATATCTTTCTTTTTGCATACTTTAAAACACATGCTTTATGTAATCTCCATCAGAAGCAGGTGCAAAAAAAGTGAGTTTCCTCTATATATTATGAAACTAGTAGATACATATAACTGTCATCAGGTGAGAGTGTGCCACTTGGTTAAAAATCGATAGGACTTTGAATTCCACTGTTTCACGCGTGACAGTCAAAAGCTATGAGATAGAACGCAATAACACAATCGTTCATCAAGATATGTGTTAAATATATGAATCATAAACCATTCAGCCAAACAAATAAATAAAAATTATGCCAAACTCCTAAAGCAATAGTAAAATGACTATAATAACATTTTTTACACGTGTCCTCTTTTCATCTCTAAATCGTGAAATTCTGTTGACCTAATGGGTTTCCTTTTGATAATAGTGCAGTTGATTCGGCTAGGCCAGTTTGGCGGCAATGTGTGTACATTGAAGTACCACCAAGATGTATAAAATTAAAAGAGACACTATTACCAATAATCAAAAACGACTTCTCCAATATACTTTAAATAAAAATAGATGATAAATTATTAGTATAATTCTATATGTATTTAGACATTTTAGGAATAACGTAAACAATTTTAAGTTATTGGGCAGACGATCCCGAAAAGGAAAATAGCAGACGTCAAATATCTTATTATGCTTTTTATCTTTTCAATTTTATACATATTATTAATATTCTTTTACTGTCTATAATTAATTGAGAGATTCTTGTTCTCTGTTTATTAACATTATTTTATTTAGAAATGCACACAAAATTGTTTCAATGAGAATAATGAAAAGAAAAGTTACATTCTTGAAAAAATTTCTAAAGAAGAATGTTTTGAGTGATGAAGGAAATGCAAAAATGGAGATGTGTCTCACTAGAAAGGGGAAGTGTGGTGTTTAAGGCTGGAAAAGAAAAGACTTCAACGAAGACATATTAGGTACGTAAGTGGTATTGAGCAAAGGGTTGGCCCATGTATTAAATAATGTAGAACGACACTGCACCAATACTTAATTATAATAATATATTGAGTTGGCAAAATCATCGTATTTTGTTATTTATCATTTACTACTTTAGTTATACAGATTCATCATTATCATTTCTCGTTTTAAGAACGATTCTGATGTCATATATATGAAGTGGTAATGATATATAATATTAATTTTCTATTGGTCGAATTTTAAAAATATTAAATAGCCTGTTACTAATTTTATTTGGAAAAAATAAATAAATAACTTCTCTTAGGAGTCTGTTGTTTTTAAAAACTTATTTATTTAAAAATAATGAGTTTTGAAACATAAAATAATAACCTTAAAAAATATAAAATATGCATTTTTTTTTTCTTTCACAAAAGCATCAAATTTTGTTTTTGCTTCTGTGTGGCTTTCAAAGCAATCATTCATAGTTTCATACTGTCCATGCAAAGTTTACATGTCCATCCATCGGCAAGAGCCTGCCACAACCTTATATATAGTGCCTCATTCTCCTCAATACTCGTGGCAGTTGAGACACAGAAATTGAGCTATAGCTACTTAGTTTCTTCTTTTCTCACCTTCCAATCTTCTCTCCCTACAGACAAGGGACGAAAAACCAAAGACCCAGATTCACGGCCATGTCTCACAGTCCTCTGACTTTTCTCTTTGGGGTACTAGGTATTTAACTACACAGAATTTTGACAATATTCATTCTCTTCTTATTCTGCACACACACACACACACACACCTATGAAGGTTACAGAAGATGTTACATCCTTCGTTTGTTTCTTGTAAATGTTGCAGGTAATGTTACGTCCTTCGTTTGTTTCTTGGCACCACTGTAAGTCTAAATGCATATTCAATCTACTTTTGATTCATATTTGAGTGACGTATTTAAACTATATAATAATATTCTAATATTTTACTGATCAAGATAAAAATAAACACATGTTGCAGACCGACATTTTATAGAGTTTGTAAGAAGAAATCAACAGAAGGGTTCCAATCAATTCCATATGTGGCTGCACTCTTCAGTGCAATGCTTTGGATCTTCTATGCCTATGTCAAGACTGGAGAAACGCTTCTTATCACCATCAATTCATTCGGTTGTGTGATAGAGACAATTTACCTTGCCATATTTATCACTTACTGTCCCAAGAAAGTTAGGGTAAATATACAATTAATACATCTTAGACTAGGATTACATATTATGGCTTTTCCCTTTTTGTATTCCTCATTAGTTATAGATATGGTTTTAAACATTATCTGAAATTGTTTCTGAACTTTCAGATGTCGACATTGAGGATGATTGTTTTGTTCAATTTTGGAGGATTTTGCACGATTGTCCTCCTAACCCACTTACTAGCAAAAGGGGCTGGCCGTGTCAAGCTTCTAGGATGGATTTGTGTGGTCTTCGCTACTAGTGTTTTTGCAGCACCTTTAAGCATTATTGTGAGTATATCACTTCAGCGTAGAACCTTCTTTTTTTTTCATTTAATCTCTTCACGTCACCTGTTATTAAATTAAGAATAAATTATCTAAGAATAAACTGTAAGACGCGCACTTTTATTTTATTACAAACTGTGTAGAAATTTGATTATGTTTACAGGAATAATTACTTCAAAATTCATAAACCTATGATTTGACTTCTACCCACATGCATAACAGTGAAAATATTAAATTAATTAGTCTCATGGTTGATATATTTTAATATATTTTTTTGTAAATATCTAGACTAATCACTAATGCATGGTTCATTCATTTTGTTTTACATTTTCAGAGGGTGGTTATTCGGACCAAAAGCGTAGAGTTCCTTCCCTTCCCTCTTTCAATGCTCCTTCTGCTAAGCGCAATCATGTGGCTGTTATATGGTATTTCGTTGAAGGATATCTATGTGACGGTAAGTGTGTTCACGTTCATGTTCATGCACGAGCTAGCCATTGTGTGTTTGCTATTTTGTCTTTTAGGATAATGCATATGCACACATATGACACTGTCTTCTGGTTTTTTCTTGGAACAGTTGCCGAACGTTGTGGGGTTAACATTTGGAGTCCTTCAGATCGTGCTCTACGCAATGTACAGAAACAACAAGACCGTAAAGGACGAGAAGCTACCAGAACACAAAGGAGATATCGACAACAATGAAAACGCTGCTCCAACTGTGTCAGGTGAGACCCAAGAACAAGTGAACACTGACGCTGGAGATATAGAGATTGGAGAGAAGAAGGAAGAAAAGAAGGAAGAGAAGAAGGAAGACACAGTAGCTGAGGAGAAGCGTGACAAAACATGTCTCAGCAACAACAATAATAACAACGAAAACAACAAGAAAACAGAGGAGAAGGAGAGTGGCGAAGTTTGATGGAAGATCAGTGTTGTTGCCTTAATCTCATCTCTCTGTTTTACGTGTAAACTTAGAAAATGGTAAAAAAAGGGGCGGAGACGGTGTAGATATCGACGCCTATTTCTTTCTCCCTACAGTTATATTTAACTTATTTGGTTCACTATTTATGTAATTTCTGTTGTCTTTACTCAAGCGAATTAATTGTGCCCCCAAATATAGGGAACTTCATAGAGTTCATGTTACTATTATATAGTCCATAGTTGTAAAAGCTTTTCCAAAAACCTTTCATACTCGGGGGCTGATTCAGTGTGCATGAAGACTATCCGATCATGTAATGAGTAAGTTTTATGTGTTGCAGTTAATTTTTGTTTTGGTAAGAAGAATTTTGTGAAAAAAATAAAATGTATAGCAATCATATAAAACAGTTTTGTACTGTTATTTAATTATAAATTATTATATGATAAATTTACTAATTATTATAACGAAATGGTAAACAAATTTCTCAATAGTTTCTAATTGATTAACCAGATAAAAGCTTTGGTGTCTTAAATTACGATAAAGATGTGGGGACAGAATTTTAGCAAACTCGAAAGAGACGGAAACCACTCGAACGACCCATCGAGAAAATGTGGAATCAAAGCAAAATTATTGTCTTTTGCTTTCTTCTAACTTAGACCTTTGTGTTCCCAGAGTCATTTGTTAATTATGTTGTTCACCAGAAATAAACAATAATAGAAGTTACTTGATACAAGATTTAGTTCCAAGCACGATATGGTTATTTTACCTTTAAATTTCCATGAAAGTGGGCATATTTAGTTGATAAAGATCTCCGTTTAAGGATGTGTAGTTTTCCAAGATAGTAACCAGATAACGGCAAGGATTTGATACGAATATCTAGAGTCATGAGTTATGGTGTGGGAATGTCAGAATTTGCCATGGTTTTCACCTATTTGTTTTATTACAAAAAAAAATTCTTTGAAAAACTATTATATATATATATATATATATATATATTTATTTATTTATTTATTCGAAAAGTATGAGTGAGGATTTAGTTATTCGAAGAGTAACTAATTACTATCAATTTTAATTGTCTAAATTAATTTATATTTTTTAAAAATATTTAAGGAAGGAGACTTTTTATTTTATTTTATTTTAGTGTATACTCGGATACATGATAAATGATTTTGAAAATATTATAATTTAAAAAATATAATTAAATATAAATAGAAACATAAAATATATAAAAAAATATAAAATGTTATATATTATTTAAAGAAGTTTTGATTCTATGATAATAATTTCTAGTGATTATTATTTTAGTAACTATTACATGTTGATGATGGTGACGAAGAGATAAGTAATCATAATTATCCATGTATTATTTATATATTATTTGTATTGTATACAGTCACATTAGTATTGGTTTCATCTTAGGACAATATAGTGCATAACACATTATAAGTACTTGTATCCAAACATACCCATTGACTACCATTAAGCAGTCTAGTCAAATATATGTCCGTTTACCAAAACTAATGGTGTACTGCCTATTCTGAAATTTAGTCAAATATGATTAAACACTTACTCAGTCAAGCCAAATGAGCCACTAGGCTCAAGCCCAGGCCTATCCAAGTAAGGGCTCATGAGTATTAAATTATACTATAAATATCACAATGATCGAGGTAACTTATTTATCCTTGTATTAATTACACTTTGAGTTTTTACTAATGTTTAAGGATGACTTGAGCATCAAAGTATCTTGTGTAGGCACAAACCTCATTCACCATACAAAGGATGAGTATCAAGAAAGAGAAGGACAAGTACTTTGGAGACTAAATGTTGAAGAAGTTCGTAGAGTTAGTCTTTACAAGCTACCTCTACGACTTTATAAGAATAATTGATACCCATCATGGAACCGAGTAGTATTTTGTAAAGAGAAGTTCAGTTAATGAGGAAAGCAAAAATTATGGTGCCACAAAAAGCAGAGTGGTCAGGGAGAGAAGTAGGACCCTACTCGGTTGATATAGCTGCGATCCTGAAAGCTCAAGTGGAAATGCAGTAGAAGTTTGCATATTTTAAGAAGAAAGGTGTAGAAGGGGTGGTCCTGGTGCCACTAAAGGCTTTAGCCTTGAGAAAACATCTTATGTAACGCCCTAAAATTTAGGGTGTCACAAGTGGTTACAAAAACCAATAAAATTTCAAACTTTTATCATAGTGCGAACACGTACTTTTCAAGAACCTCAATAATTAAACTGCATAATTATTTCAAAACGTAATAGTTCCAAAATCCTTATCCAATTACACTATTCAAAAATAATGAAAATAACGAAGGAAATAAAGAAGTCCAATTACATTGTCTCAAAGTTCAACATAATAACTTTAAAAGAAAATCCCAATTAGTTTGTTCCCCGTCATCTCTCGAATCTATCATCTCTCACCAACATCTACAACATCATTTGCTCATGTATAACACATTATACGATCATTGCCGATAAATTCATATACAAACACACAACACAAACATGTATGGGGTAAACTACCATTAAAACAATCATAATAAAAAGATATAAACACATTGATTATATCAACCATAAACAATCACCCCATACATAGTAGTAATGACAATAAGATTCTTAATCCTCTATTATCAACAATTCAATCATAATGAATTACTCAATCCCTGATCCCACTAGTAAAATATTTGCTTTTAAACTCGCACAATATGCCTCATTTTACACCAAACCGCTGCCTAAAACAACGCGGTGGCAGATTAGTAATTAAGGCCACCTTATAGGCCTCGGTTGCATGCAGAACCGAAGCATAACGGAGCTACCACCTCGGCTGCATGCAGAACAGGTGCCTTAAAACCCCCTACCCGCCATACTTTTGGACTAATAACTTTATGAAAAGGTAATACTACCTCGGTTTCATGAAGAACCAAGGCATAAAGCCTCTGCCACACTTGCAACACTGAATCCGCCAGACTTTTGGGCTGACAAAAGGTGATACTACCTTGGTTTCGCATAGAACCGAGGCATAAAGCCTTTGCCACCTCTGCTCTGTATGACCTTTTGAAGACTTTTTTAAGCTTCTATTCGTTTTGTCCAAGAGCTACGACCTCGATTTCTTTAGGCCTGGTGTCAAAAGCGTGTTCGGCTTCGGTTGCGTTTCTAACCGAGGCATATAATGTGCTATTGCTTCGGGTGTTTTAGACAACCGAGGTAGTATCGTTTATTAAGTTCAAAAAATTTAAGCTCATTTCCTTTCTTCTCGTGTTGCTGCTTCTGCTTCTTCTTCTTTCTTTCTCTTCGTATGATATAACGTTCTTCTTCGTTGCTTCTTTGTTGGTTCTTCGCGCTGTTGGTTCGTCTTTGCCCCCACCACTGTTGTTCTCCCCAAGGGCTGCCTCCACCATCGTCGCCGCCGTGAGCCGCCTCTGTCGTTGCTGCTTCGCTGATTTGTTCACTTTTTGGTGATGTCGTCGTCATTCTCACCCCGTTCTCACCTTCGTAGTCGTTTCTGTCGTCGCCCCCACTGTCATTGTCGTTGGTGTTGCCATCACGGTAAGTTTTTTAAACCATCTTTATCTTATCTTTGATATTTGAGTTGGAATATTGGTTGAAACCCTCTGCTCTCTACGTTTTGCTTCATGTTTTATTTTGTGTGTGATTGTAAAGTCTTGAGTTCTTGTTTCTAAACTCAAGCAAGTGACAGTGGCGTGTCTCTGCTCTTTACGTTTTGAGTTTTATTTAAATTCTTAAGTGATATAAAGGTTAAAAAATAAATTTTGATATAATGATAAAATAAAAATTTAGAAATTAAATTGAGTACTAGAAGGAGAGTTGTCAACGTGGCGAGAGTAGAAAGGTGGAGAGGGGCGGTGCATGGTTGTAGCTCCCGTTAAAACATGTGTTGAAAGGAAGAGGATTGCAAAATGAAAAGCAATGACTAGACCAGAGATCAACGACAACTATTCAAGCAATGACTAAAGTTCTTTATGTTCTTAGCTTGATAAATAATTTTTATTAACTATAAACAAGTTGACGTAGTCCAATGACATATATAATCCAAAAGCATGTTCTTATTGCACAATTTTACAAGGGAAATTAATCCACTAAGAGTAGCATAATCATATACATATTACAATCATTATATGTAAACAATAAGGACCATCCTAGAAAGAGATGTATACTTGAATGCTTAATGATCAATTTGCATAACACTGCTTTCTCACCTAACTCTTAGATTTAGAAAGTTTGGTAACCTTGTGAAATTTATCCAATATATAAATTTAAAAATTGATAATCATTCATGTTGTCTTTTACCAAATTTAAAACATTATAAGTGAACTTAGATCTTACTTTCTTTACTAATGTAAGACCTGTTACTTTAGATTTAAATCCTACGAAAAATACTAAAACATAAAAAATACAAAGATAGAGATAATACTAAGAGTTCTTTTTATAGATCCTACTATCGATTTAGGAGTAATATATACAACACCCATGGCGAACTCAATGATTCAAAACATATTCCTTAGAATTTTTCAAAAAAACACCAGTTAAAAAATTTACTAAACTAGTCATCTTTTCTTTCACATATTTATCCTTGTCAAAAATAAAAAATAAAAATATCAAGTATATGACTATATTACAAAAACACAATAGATTGATATATTTATTTATGTTTTATTGGGACAATTTATGTAAAGGAAATTTGTTGGATTAGATATTGTTTGTTTGAATATATTGCATGTTGTATATGTAATTATTTGTTTGCTTGAATATATATTGTTGTTAACAATTAGCCTTAGTTTCCCGCTTGAGATTCAATACAAAAATTATTTACTATCTCCAGATTTTTTGAACAAACGTACTTTTTACAAATGAAAATAGAGATAGTAATAATAATTTACAAGTATTGAATCTTGAATTGTCCAATTGGACAGTTTAAGAAGAGTAAACTTTTTCATAGTTTATTACAACATATCAATTTTAATATACATGTCTTAAATTTTATGAAAATTTGTCGTTGTGTTTTGTATTGATCTTCGAGTGCATATTTGATTGTGATTTATAATCACTTTCATGTCGTGTAACCTGAAGACCAATGCGAAATGCTGGCAAAATTTCGTGAAATTTAAGATATGTTGTTTAAAATTGATATGTTTAATAAACTAAAAAAAAGTGAATCTTCTTGAATGGGATNTCATACTCGGGGGCTGATTCAGTGTGCATGAA